AAGCGCTGTAAGCATTAGATGTCCCCTTATATAATTAAACAATAAAGTACAATATTCATTTTAACCTCGATGTCACCTGTAAATGGTAGAATGCCTTGCAATGAAACAAAAGATAGGAGGGCTGCTGATATCCTGGGGGAGGGGTAGTATGTTGAAAAATGGAAACAGGTCATAGGCAGGAAAATATTTAGATTCTGGTTGTGTTTTCAATGAGATAATTCGCAACCAGTGAAAATAGATTATCCATTTCTAATTGGGTTAATGATGGATCCCCAAAAAGAAAAAAGTGAATTTTGTCTTGCTGAGTTCTGAAATGAGTTAATAAGTCCCCATATATCCCTAAAGTATCTGTTATTAATTTATTTCTTTGTTGTTCTTTCAGAGGGCATTTGAAAAAGAAGTGGGGAAAAGTTTCAGGGGAACCACATAAACAATTTGATGACTCAACTGAGCTCCAATTGTGGGCTTTGAGCTGGGCTTTTAAAATTAAATCTACCCTGGCTCTATTCAGATAAAGTTCTTGTTGACGAGTTAATTTTAAACAAATTGTTGAAACAACACCAGGGAACAAATTTAATTTAAGTGTTCTTTTAAAAGATGCAATAGTTGGCAAGAGCTTTTGTTCCAAGGGAACAGATCCTGGATCATTCCATAGGTTCATCATTTTGTATATTGGAGACTTATGTGGATAGTGAATAGGGATAGTGAAATCTCGAGATTTCCTTAACAATCTTGCTTGAGGGTTTATGAATGGCCTAAATATATCTGAGATATAAATAGGTGTTAAATCGTTCACGGCTTTGTACATAATTGTTTTAAAGTGGAGGATCCTCCTCTCAGTTAAGGTGGACCAGTTCAAAATGTTAAGTACTTTGGAAGTGCTGGAGCCTGGGAGAGCACCAGAGACTATTAGACCAGCTTGGTACTGGAGACTGTCAAGTCTGTTAAGGTCACAAATAGGAGCACAGTCATAAAGGATATCACAATAATCAAATAAGGACTGAATATAAGCTGTATAGAGAATATTTAATTGTTTTGATTTTAGTTGTTCCCTAAGTAAACAGGTTGTTATTTGTTAAACCTTATATGGATGATTTCTAAGAATATGCTAATATCATTAATTCATGTTCTGAGAAGTTACCATTGCCTTATAGTAAACAGGTCTCATAAGGAGATACTGTTATTTGGCTTCTAAGAACTTGTCAATGAGATTAATCTATGAGCAATCCTTATGTGGGGAACTTATTGGAAATTTTGTGCAAAACTTCACTATGGTAACACCTGTGTAATCCGAATGCCTCTGGGACTGACCAAAAGTGTTCAGATTAGCAGGTGTTCGCATTTCCAAATTTTATAAACATGTAACAAAAGGTTGTTTTGTTAGTTGATTTGACAAGAGGCAGTGGATGTTAACGCTTGAACACACCAGATGAAGCACAATTAACGGACATTTTCTAAACACATTCACATTGCTCGACTGTCCTTGGTGTTTGAATACAAAGATTTCACTGTAGTATTTGTTATTTTATTCTAGAAAAAATGGATCAGCAAGGCAAAGACAACAAGGCCGACCAGTGCAACCCCAACAATCCTAAATATGATGGTCATGTGACAGGTTACCCTGGAGAGGGAACCAAGGCAGACTTGGATAACCATGGAAACCAGCTGAATCCAAACAATGACAAGTACACTGCACCCAAGAAGTAAGAGTCCCCTATAGGATGACTCCGAAGCAAAACTTGGAATATTACTCAAAACATTATATAACCACTGCTAATAGAACAATTGATAATCAATTGATAATGCACCAGACATAGACAATAGACATTTCACTTGCTGCTGAAAAATGAAGTAACCAATCAACAATCTTGCACTCTTAATGTCACTTATGTTCCACAGATATATGATGATATATATATTAAAATACATTGAGATACAAATTGAAAATTGACAAAGAACAATAATTGTTTAAACAGATTCAAAATAACTCTATGATTCAACTTTGTAAAATCGTCTGTGTTTTCTTAGCGAAGTATACTTGAAAATATTGTAAAATGTCAAATAAACACTTGAGCTTACATGTATACACATATACAGGTGTTCTGTCAGTTTAAGATGCTATTGTTTAAAGATAACAAAACATTTGTGATTGTTACTAAAATACTAACTATATTTTCATTATTTTACTCAGGCCCGTCATATGGGGGGGGGGGTGCATTGGGTTGAAACCCCTCGGAAATCAAAAAAATCCCCAAGAAAATAATGTTGCGTCATATAAAAGCAATAAGTTCTTTATTTTTCTTTCAGTGTTAATTAATTTTATAACTTAATGCTGTGCTTATTGCATATTGTTTAATTCAGATGAAAAATGGAAATTAGGGGATCATAATAGTTGTGAACCTCAACCCCCTTTGAGAAAAGTGTCTGACGGGTCTGTTAAACTTCTATTCACTATTGTGTCTGCCCATCCTTCATTCGAAGGACTTCATTTATTATTCAATTCAGCTCTTCATGCAAGATTAATGTAACTTGATTAAGTAACAACTGTTCTGATTGGCTGGTTATTTGAAAGTTTGTTTGCTCAGTCCCAACAATTGTATAAGCTGCACCCAGGGTATGGAAAGAAGTGAAATACCCTTGGACCAAGATTTCACAAAAGGTATATGACATATATCATGCCATATTTAAAACGAGAAACAATGAAAAAGATAATATGTAAATACATCAGGGTTCACGACTTCAACACAAAGGCAACCAATTGTTCTATATTTCTATTGCCAAGAAAGATAAGTTCCCATAACAGCAGTTATGTAACTGTAGGTTTACACTTCTGAAATACATGATACATTATTGAAGTAACATGGACTACCATATGCTGAAAATGATTCCCCATGAGTGGCCATAGATCACATCGAGTTTGTAAATGAGCATTTATAACATGACCATTCATCCACATCACTATTCAATGCATTTTATATAATTTTGAAACATGCAGAATGTTATTTTCACTATATAATGTCTAAATAGTGATAGAACCAGAACAACGGCAACGCCAAAGCGTAGCGAATCCCATCGAACAGAAATGGCTGGCATTTTTACAAACGAAGCGCAAATATCATAAAACAACACACCAGAAAGGCCACCATTTTCAAAATGGTTGCTCACTAGCCAAGTTGTCATCAGAAGAAATAATATGCTTTTAAGTAGCCACCTCTAAAATTTTTGAAATATCGCACACATGCTTGTAAAATAACACACATAAAAATGGTGGCCATTTTTCAAAATGGCCGACGACTCCCTAAAGTTTTATTAGACAATGTGCCATGCTTAAAGTATTCACATATCAATTATGAACAAAATCGCTCCACGTCCACTTTTAAAAAAATTTCCAAAATGGCCGCCTTCTACCAAAAGAGTCATAGGACAGTGTGCCATGCTTATAGTATTCACATACCAAATATGAACAAAATCGCTCCACTACTTTTCGAGTTATAGTAAAATACGTTAAAATGGCGGCCATTTTGAAAAATGGCCGCCTTCTACCAAAAGTCTCTTTAGACAGTGTGCAATGCTTATAGTATCCACATACCAAATATGAACAAAATCGCTCCACTACTTTTTGAGTTACAGCAAAAATCGTAAAATGACGAGTAAAGGCCACCATTTTTCAAGATGGCTGCCATGTGCTTCTTTAATATCTACATTTGTAGCATTATTAACGTCCTTTATAATTTTTTTACATTTAAAACATATTGCTATTACAGTTTTACATATTGCACCTAAATTACTGTAAAATCGTCACAAAAATGGCCGCCATTTTGAAATGAGTGGCCATTTTGAAAAAAAGGCTTTGGAGCAGAACTTCTTACCTCATAGGGTATATGTGTACAAAATATGAACAAAAACTGGCAAACCGTATTTGAGTTATTGCCCGGACGGACGGACGGACAGACGGACGGACGTACGTACAGACGTATGTACGGACGGACGGACGGAGGCGTTCCCTATATCCCTCCGAACTTCGTTCGATGGGATAAAAATGAAGTAAATCTCACATATTGGTTTAACCCCCTCCCTCATACAATGAAATGTATCCAGGCACATTCAAGGAAAAAATAAATAAAAGAACTATTTTTAACAATATATATTATTTATTTGATATGTCCAGCACCAAATAATTATAACAATAAAATATCACCTGTACAAATGAATAGACTAATCCAATCCAGTAAATCATGCCACCTATTGGTTGTGATGTCATTCTTATATGATGTCAGAGCAGAAGTTGGATTAACTTATTGAATGATAATATTCAAAAACTTTTAATAATTTTGCTAAGAAACATTCCTGCCTGTTGAGTATGATAACATTATTCTAGCTCATGCACAGCCAATCTCCAACAGAACTGATCGGTACTATTTTGGCTACGATACGGTACAGAATCCTGAATATAGTACCATAGACTAAAACAGTGCTGAACTGTACCTAAAACACTTAATGGTAGCATACTCAAGTGGTACTGTACGGTGCCATACTCTTAATGTACTGTATGCAGGCCCATAGCCAGCTTTTGCCAAGGGGGTTCAATTTTTAAAAAAATTCCAGGGGGGTTCACTTTTGACAACTTTGGCTCGAACCACCTGGCTACGGGTCTGGTATGGTATGGTATTATGATTTCAAAGTGTGGATTAGAAGTGCATACTACCCCATAGTACCCTAATTTGTTTAGTTCACCAAAAGAGGCCAGGATTTATTGGAAAGGTTTTCCTTCAAAATAAATTTTTGTTACAAAAATATTACTTTTGGGTCAGAACAGCAATATACCAATAACCTCATTTCAAAGTGCAACATGGTGAAATCATTTCTACATGTTGCCTGCTAAAATGAGGTTATTAGTATTATCACCATTTATTGATGGTGATAATACTAATGTCACTCGTATTTGCCCTGGACTATGGCCGGCTCCACCTATTGGTCAAGTCAACATAGTAAAATATAAACCGTCTAAACTAGTACTAATACCCTGAGAACAGACATTGCAAGGTGGTTATAATGGTCATTACTCAAAGTAGAAGTATATTTGAAGGAGTAGAAATTTTGTGACATCAGGGATTATCTTGTTATGAGTCTGCCGTTGACTATACTCACAGAGTTGACCTTTCTCTGGTGTCTACTGACGACATACTCATTAATACATGTTATTGAAAAAAAACAAATCACGAGTGCAAATCCAATGAAATGATCCAGAGTTCTAAGTAAAGAGTTATTCCAAAATTGAAAATGCTGTTTCATCTTGAGGAGGATTTTTTTTGACATTGAGGTTCTGACCCTGAATTCCGTACATGAACACTTTCTGTTTGTTCATTTTTCTGTTTTGTTTGTTGAGTAAAAATAGTTCATCTAATGTAATAAATATTTCATGATAATGCTACAATATATAATTGCTTCATATTCTATACAGAACGAAATTACAAATAACTTATTTTGAAATATACGACTATGTGTACAATGTGCTATTCAAATATAAGTCAATTTGATTTCTCATGAGTCTGATGAACATATCCAAAATATGTTTTTTGGTTAAATGATGTAAAAATCACATAAAAATATCTAAAAGCACCATTTAAATGTAATTCTTCAATTCTGATGCCATTCCTTTCAATTTACCATGTTAAAAGATGACGACGACTGACTTGAATATACACCTTAATTTCGGTTCATATCCAATACTGGTGAAGAATCTAACAGTGGCTATTTCCATAGGTTCACCATCACATAAACCCAAACAAAAAATTGTTGAACCATTTTTAGAGTGGACAGCTTAATATCTCGTACTCTTTTCACAAACCTCTGAATTCAATCACCCAATTAGATTTCGGACAGTTCTCTTTACTTGTATTTTATGTAAAAAACATATTAATGTTACGATGCTCTGATTGGTTGAGTGTCAAACTGTGGAATGATCGATCTTAATCAGATGGTTGTGATCAGACTTCGAGCTCAGGGTTTTGTTCTTAGTTAAGTCTCTTCCTGCGTTCACATTTGGGGCACTTATTAGCTTTCCTTATCAAGCAATGTCTGAAAGTTAATAAATTAACAAATAAATAAATACGAAATAAATAAGAAGTGATGCAGTGTAAAGATGACAGTGTAGACTGGAAATGGAAAGGAATCAATTTAAAGATTTTGTACTTTTTTCCAAACATCAACATTTTTCCTTTTATCTCTCTAAAACAACTGTCCACTATATCTTTGACAGTTGGCTATTCATATAAATACTTCAATATTCAATTTCTTGCTGATTCCACTATTTTAGCCCTGTTTTCAGGGAACGTGAAGCCACCATGTTATCTTCACATGGACTTAACCTATGTAGCACTGTTGAACATTGGGAACAGACTATAGCAATATTATCAAATGGAAATAAGACTTATAGCCACCATGGCACTTTCTTATGAACTTACCTATGTAGCACAGCTGCACAGGTGAACATTGGGAACAGACTATAGCAATTTATCAAATGGAAATAAGACTTATAGCCACCATGGCACTTTCTTATGAACTTACCTATGCAGCACTGTTGAACATTGGGAACAGACTATAGCAATATTATCAAATGGAAATAAGACTTATAGCCACCATGGCACTTTCTCATGAACTTACCTATGTAGCACTGTTGAACATTGGGAACAGACTATAGCAATATTATCAAATGGAAATAAGACTTATAGCCACCATGGCACTTTCTCATGAACTTACCTATGTAGCACTGTTGAACATTGGGAACAGACTATAGCAATATTATCAAATGGAAATAGGACTTATAGCCACCATGGCACTTTCTCATGAACTTACCTATGTAGCACTGTTGAACATTGGGAACAGACTATAGCAATATTATCAAATGGAAATAGGACTTCATCTTCATCACATAACTCACATAGGAAGCCCTTGGCTTGGCATAGCTGTAAAACATGGAGAATACAACTTATTATCGCATACTTCATATGTTTTCTATATGCTCATTGGTTTATTTATGATATGAAATAGATGAACTTATTCCCTGGAGAGTCCTGGTAGTAGGGAAGATGAAAAGTACTAATGTCCTCAATAGTACTTTTTATCTTCCCTGCTAGTAGAGCCACTAAATGCCACAATTTGTATAATATTGCAAATGTATTGGAACTGCAATACAAATATAAATAAATATTCAGAAAAATATAAAATAAATGGACAAAGATTTCATGTACACGTACATCTGTTTTAATGTGCTGTTTGTTTGAGAAAAAGAAAATGTAAACGCTGTTTACCTGGCAATCTGTTTTGATATGTTGAGCAAAGCTTGCATGTATCTTTGCAAGTTCAGGTAGCAAGACATCCTCTACAACATCTAGCAAGTCTTGGAGGGAATACATGTCTGAGTTCTCAACAAAATGTTGACGTCCCTGAAGCTGAAATAGAGCAGTCGTTTTATTTTTTATTTTTTTTTTTTATTTATTTATTTATTAATTATCCTCATTCATTACATAACATTTACAAAATCTTCAATCGCCAAATACATGCATGGCATTATAGAAGAATTGATGGAACTTAATGAAATATAATATAAGGAGCAATGTTAACAGTAGTTTTGTGGTGGTGGGGGGGTGCTTGGCGTGGGAAACAGTTAATGGAGATAAAAGATGTTTAAGGAGGGAAAATCATATATTGGCTTTTATAAAGGAAGCTAACCTGGTCATCATTTTCGAATTAAGTTCGGTAGAGATTTCAGTTGAGCCATATTTCAGAACTTCAAGATATTTATGCTGAGAGATTTGCCTGTCAAAAATTTCAGGGATCAGGTTTTTCAGGTATTGATTAAATTCATCCCTGGCATGTGTCAAATGAGCACAGTGGAAAAAGAAGTGTTTAACTGTTTGTGGATGTCCACATGAACAGTTTGGGTTGTCAATATTACTAAAGTTATGAGCATATAGTTGGGCCTTAAATAGAAAGTCGGCCCTGAATTTATTTACTATTATCTCATGGCTCCTTGTGAGGTTCAGTTTGCTGGTTGTGATGACATTTATTGGATTTTTGAAAAGCAGTTTTTGATGTTTCTTGAAATTCTGGATAGTAGCTTATACTCTTTAATGTATTTGGCAGGGCTAACCAGTTGGAGATTGCAGAGGGTACCGCTGAATTTCTGTACCGTTCAGAGCATTTTGGTATAATGAACTCATCAGTGTTACGCAAGTTTCGAGTTTCTGGTTTTTTGAACTTATCAAATATGTCATCAAGAAATTTAGGGTTAGGACCATGTACTATTTTGTACATAAAGTTGTTTATAAACATTTTTCTTCTAGTGTCAAGAGATGGCCATTGAAGTAGCGTTAGTACTTTATCTGTGCTGCTCCCGTGAATACAACCTGAGCAATAGATAGCAGCTTTATAATATAATCTATCGAGCCTTTAAAGTAGATATTTGGAAGAACTATTGTAAATGATGGTACCATAATCAAAATGGGGCAATATGAAGGAGTTGAAGATTGTCTCCAAATGACTAGATCCTATTTTGTTTTTGAGTTTTTTAAATGGATTCAACATTTTTATTACGTTATCATAGATGTTACTTATATGGTGCTTGTGTGTTAAGCAGGGATCAAACGTGAAACCGAGGTGTTTATGGGAATCAGCTCTAACTATTTCCATATTATTAAGATTAGATGGACTGATATCATTAATACGTGTTCTAGGTTTATGAAATATCAGTTCATGACTTTTTTCTGGTTTAAACTGTAGTTTCCAAGTAGTTGACCATTGTTCAATGCTTTCTAGGCTTGACTTAACAGAATCATCAACATTAGTGGGGTCTTTTGGATCAAGTTTAAAATGTAAAGAGGTATCACCCAGCATAGATGTAGCACTGGCCACCCAGGTTGTCAGGAAGATCATTAATGTACAAGATAAATAGAATAGGCCCTAGAATAGACCCCTGTGGAACGCCACAGTTAATAAAATTAGTATCAGAAAGTTTTGAAGATTCGCCACCTACATTAACAAAGAATTTTCTGTCATTCAGATAGGAATTGAGTACATTGAGCAGTTGGCCTTGGATACCGTAAGATTTAAGTTTAAGCAATAGAAGATTATGTGGTACGCAATCAAAAGCGGCCGAAATATCAAGGAATATTGATTTAGAGGCTTTGCCTTCCTCGAAAGTGCATTGCAGGTAGTGCTCAATAGCTAGAAGTTGAGAGTGTGTACTGTGGCCAGGCAGGAAACCAGATTGATGTTTAAAAAGTAAATCATTTTGTATAAGATGTTTTTTAATTCGATCAGCAAGAACTTTTTCAAAGAGCTTTGATAGCAGTCGTTTTATGAAAAAGTTGGCCAATATGACTTATTACAGTTATCAACTATTAAGGGTAGGGTAGGGTTAAGGTCATTTTTTGGTTCTAAATCTTCATAAACATTAGAATTGCTGTTCAAACTTCAAATTGGAAAGTGTTCAAATTAAAAGCTTCTGATAAAATCAATTTAAATGGACAAAATAATGGGACAAATTGTTCATATTTTCAAATGTTCACTTAAAGTTTTACTGAACACTAGATTTTAATGCCTTTTATGATGATAAGGTTTAAGTGGCTCACCTGGAGAAGAAGTTTACTTTCTAAGGCTGCAGGACAAGACAGAAAATATTTCTTCATAATCAAGATTTCTTCACGCAGTTTCTGCAATTCAGTAAATGAATTTTTTATACATATATACTATACCAAATATATAATTCCACTCATAGCTCATAGCATAATTTTTTTCTCTGTCTTTTGATCAGGAAATTGAACAATGTGATGACTGATGAGAAATGAGAATTATATATATCAAAGACCAGAGAAATAGAAACACCAGGGTGTAATATAAGTGTAAGCATGAAGACTAAGAGCCAGATAGCTTAGCTCAAGACACTGGTCCATATTTCAATTTTAATTGGTAGTTTTGACATCCTTAAGAAATCAATACAATGGACCCTATGTATGCCATGGAGCTGGATACTATGCTATACTTACTTTGACTTCATTGAGTTCATCCACAAAGTTGAATAACATTGGGTTGATGTCTTGTATCCTGATCACAGCCTTGTTTAACATGAGGCGTAAAAACTGTTTGGAAGCCCTACACACCTGAAAAATAGACAATGTACATTTAAATTTATATATCTGAACACTTCTCAAAACCTGAAATAGACAACGTACAGTAAAGTTTATATCTCTAAACACCTCTCAAATCTGAATACCTCTCAATGTGAACACTATCGACTTCTATATTAAAATACAATGAAATGTGTACACCTGCCTATTTGAACACCAATGATTTTAGTTTTCATGACATTTTTATTACTATACACTGATACTGCTCTGGAAATTTGAAGTTTAAATATCAAGTTAATATTAGGCACTTATAGTCAGAAAATGTATTATAGCAATGGCCTCCCACTAGCCAAAAATTCTTTTAAAATCATGGAGTTTTACACCATTCTGAACAGTTTTCAAGTGGCCAAAGTTGGTGAATGTGAACCCTCCTTGGATTTTTTTTGCAAAATTGAACCACCCTTGGCAAAAATTGGCTATGAGCATGTACTACATATTCTGATTGTTGACAGGCTAAATACAAATATCGCAATATCATACTGCAAAGGAAATGTATTGATTATTAACATACTTTTCTTGGTTCAAAGTCCCAGTTATGAAGAACCCTGGCTGGTATAATCATTGCATCGTTCCAATGGCATAGATCACAGTAATAACCCCCTGTATAGTCGCATTGTCTTGGTTCAGGACCTGTCTCTGAAAACATGGATATATGTTACATAATACAGTGAAATCTGTACATTTGAACACCTCTTTAATCTGAACACCTCTCACTGTGAACACTTTTTCTCAGTCATAATTTTTCTCCCATTGACTCACATATTAAATAAGGAACTTTGAAATGTCAACACCTGCTAATCTGAACACTTTTAGCCAGACCTAGGACACATAAACTTCACGCAAAATTAACCTCAGTAAGTGGAACACCTCCCATACTCACATTATTATGAGATGCAAAAGGTGTTCCACTTAGGTTTTATTGTACAAGTATTTAAAATCTTTATGTACACTACATTAAAATTAAACTTCCAGAATCATACTTACTGTATGTTAAAACTGTCCTGCATTCGATACATCTATAACCCTGAGCAGAGAGGCCTTTATCTGGGCATATAGCTACAATATAGATGGGGTTCTCAGCCACCCGCACACTGGCACATGCCCTCGTTATTTGGTTAAGACACTTGGCATGTGTATTGTAGCTACATTCTGGAAAATATAAGAATACTAAAACTTAGTTTTAAATTCATTTGCACAGTTTAATACACACGTCACACTGACTATCTGACTGACTAGAGTGTTGTTGGCATTTTTGTGATTTCTTCAAATTTTATTTTCTGAATGTAATGATTGAAAATTGTTTGTGCACTTTGTGATAGAAGCATGAAATTTGGCACAAAGTTAGTTTATACCATTGTGAACTAGGCATCATCATATAAAATTTGAACCAAATCCGTTCACTGGTATATGAGTTATCAAAGATTACGTTTTTTACGAAAATTGGCCGCCATCTTGAAATTCAGCCGCCATCTTGAAAATTATTTCTTGAACAGAGCTACTGTGTCCCTAGGCATAATCATATAAAATTTCAACCAAATCTGTTCACTGGTTTTTGAGTTATCAAAGATTACGTTTTTTACGAAAAATTGCCGCCATTTTGAAATTAAGCGGCCATCTTAAAAAAATTTTGTCAAACATAGCTACTGTGTCCCTAAGCATCATCATATAAAATTTGAACCAAATCCGTTCACTGGTATTTGAGTTATCAAAGATTACATATTTTTACAAAAAATGGCCGCCATTTTGAAATTAAGCGGCCATCTTAAAAATCTCTTTTTGTTCGAAACTCCTTTGTCCCTAGGCATCAGCATATAAAATTTGAACCAAATCCGTCAACTTGTATTTGAGTTACCAACGATTACATTTTTTACGAAAAATGGCGGCCATTTTGAATTGTACTCGAGTACTTCTTAGTATTAAACACCCAGTTGGGAAAGAAATATGGGGAGAATACTGGATTTTGAAATGCATGTATAGATGAACAGTTTGAAGAATAAGGTTGTTAAGTCAGTGGTATATACTTCAGTAAGATGATCCTATATCTCAAGTACTTCTGTAATGCTAGCAGGGTGAGGTTACATACATTCAGCATAAGTCACTTTTGAGCCATTAATCACTTTAACATTAAAATGGTCAAAGTGCCACAGAATTGGGTTACCATGGCAACAACAATAATAACAGCAGATAGTGTTCGCATTATGTATTCTGGTTTATGTTTATTACTACATACTCAAAGATAATAGTTAATCTATAACATTCATCTGTAAATTTAATTTAAAATGTTTGAAGTCGGACTGAATTGCAGAAGTTTCATTAATCATCATAAGCCCTTACATCATTCGAAATTTCAAGAGAAATTAATTAGTTGACATGAGAGATTATTTTCACATACCTTTGCACTTATACCATGTCTGCAAAACTCCCCAAATGACAGTGTTGCATCTCTCGCAGTAATGCTTTGAACTCTTGCCACTGATTGGTTTAAACTGATGCCCGAGAATGTACTTTGTGTCCTTGTCTAGTTGGACTGGCTCCTCCTGAAATTTTTTTATAAACAATGACCAGTCTACCTGATTTCTCCTTAAAGAGACTGGAAAGCAATGATTATCTTGATTATCCCGATTATTGATTATAACGCCCCTTGGGGTCAGGCTAAAGAGAAAGAAAAATGTATTTGATTTAAAATGAAAACTTCGATTTGAACTTGCAGCTCAGCCATTTTTGGTGATCTTTTTCTTTATAACTATTTACCAATTTTAGTCTTCTGCCAAAACATGAACAGGCAATTTTGAACTCAAAATCCAAATTCATAAATCCCTCCAAGATTGTAAACTACAGATCTAAGCCATACCATTTTAAATGTACATGTGCATGTATATCCATTCATGGTTATAAGCTATCTCTTAAATTGTCAAATCCTTGATTACTGGCTTAAATTGACGATCTGTCATATACTATATGCTTTAAACTGAACTATGGCAACTGTTCTTCCTGCTAAATGAGGAAATAATATTACATTGAACAGGTTACACTGAACTAAACTCACTAATGCATCAAATTAATGTTGTTGCTGCATGCAGTGGAATGCTTCTAATAATTATATTCTAAAAAAGAAGTAGAAATACAGTTTCACTTTCTCTTTTAAGTGTACACTGTAATTACCGAATTTTCTAAATTGGAACTTAAAAAAATTGATGGGGAAGAACTGAATCTGGCCCCTTATACTATTATACCCCTTATACCTTATATCAAAGTTGAATATCTTTTAAATTAAAATTTTGAAATGTTCAGTGAAACTCAGATTAAAAATATGGAGAGATAAAATGTACCCACCCCAGGCTGGGTGTAACCCCATTGCCAGGCTACATGTGATTAACAGATGCATGTAACCCCAAGGTTGCATGAAGCTCCAGACTGTATCAGTGCTTTGAAACATTCTTGGTTTTCAACAATCAATAAACAATTAGAAAATTTACAAATATTTTACCTTAGCCTCTTGTAACTTCAGCCTCAGTTGTATCAACTTCCTTACAAGGTTTTTACTTTTCTCTGAATCACTGGTGACATCTTTAATCATACGTTTACATGTGTCTATTGCCATCTCAAGTTCTTCAATGGTTGTCATACCAAAATGACCCTGTAGTTAATAAGAATATGAAATACACAACATGGCATACGTCACATGTGTGGCACCTAATACTCCCTCCTCGGGGTCATAGCCACTAAAACCTGTAAATATGTTACATTGATTTTAATAAATAAAAATAAATGAAATAAAAAAAAGAATTACAATAAAGAATTACTGTAGAACAAATCAGCTCTGGAATAACATAGAGTATCATATCACTGAACTGATATGATTCAAAAAGTTTTTGAGACAATTTTAATATGTACATACATTGCTCTCCCCAGCATTCAAGCAAGTGGGTGCATCACCCATCTGTGATTTTAATAACAGGCTTGGAACCACATGAGAAAATATTTGCATCCACTTGAAAATGCCAAAAATCATGAAATATGGGCATGTTTTGACCAATTTTGGTCTGAATTGTGAAAGTAAGAATTTTGCAACCACTTGAGAAAAAACCCTTTGGAGAACACTGTTGCTATCCATCTCTGATTGTGGTAACGGTTTCTCAATGGTTGGGAAGGGGGGGGGCTGTTAGACATATTTGATTTTTGCATTATATAATAGTTTGGGGTATTGGGGATTTGTTTTCATTGTGCCACCTGCATTTGGAGGAATACTTCAATCAAGATTAAAATGGACACATTTATTTGAAGGATGACTTCAATCAAGATTAAATTGGACACCTGCATTTGGAGTATGACTTCAATCAAGACTATAAAGAACACCTGCATTTGGAGGATGATATCAATTAAATTTAAAATGGACACCTGCATTTGAAGGATGACTTCAATCAAGATTAAATTGGACACTTGCATTTGGAGGATGACTTCAATCAAGACTATAAAGAACACCTGCATTTGGAGGATGATATCAATTAAATTTAAAATGGACACCTGC